CATGTACGAGATGATGTGTGGCCGTTTGCCATTCTACAGCAAGGATCACGAGAAGCTGTTTGAACTTATTCTCACCTGTGCCGTGCGTTTTCCTAACAAATTATCCGGCGAAGCTAAGTCTTTGCTGAGTGGGCTGCTGATTAAAGATCCAAGCAGCAGGTATTTATAGTATTCGAAGCCATCAGCAATTCATTCGCTCAATGGACGTGTGTACTTGAAGTAGGAAATTAGTAGGTCTCTCATTAAATATGCGAAACGTAACATACCTCAGATATATTATATATGTTGTACTGTAAAGAGATTACTGCTTCCACTTAACGTCCAGAGTGGCGAATACATGGTATACAGTTAGTGCGTAGGTCGTTTTGTTTCCCGTTTCCTGGTATCATGGTTGTCCATTGCAAGCGCACTCCTGCATATGCACGTATATGAATACGTTTCAGATATTTAAAATCAGTCACTATATCACCAGTGGGGTACGGTGGCGCAGTGGCAGCGTGGTCGAAGTCGAAATAAAAATGTTCTGTTTCAGTCTCAAAAAAGGACAAATTTCTTCTTAAACCTGAATTCCTTTGAACCACCAGAGAAACGGGTAACAAGTCTTAGATTTGCGAGCACAAGTGCATACCCGTTACTCGGCACTCAAATGACATTGGTTAAATTTTTAGCTGAAAAATGATCATTGTTAAGGCAAGCATGGTCTTTTCTTGGAACTCGAGCCTGACAGATCCACAGTTCAAAGCTGAGCTCTTTGTCTCTGTGCCATCGTCCCCCCATGGCAATATATTGAATTATTTCCGAAAGGTGAAACTTATTCGATGGGTTCGTTTGACGCTTCACCATAATATAGGGCAACATACAAAAGAATATGTCCTTAGAGCTACTTGTGAATGGCTGGGACATTACAAATAAAGTTAAACTTTGAACGTAATTGCAATATTCAAACTCAAAACCTGAGACAGATTTTTATAGATACTCTTGATTTCTCTAATTAAAATATTCATTTATGTATAAATTTGCATTGATTCGCAGTTTGTA